GACTGACTTCCTTCTAATGATATTATGTAACAGATCATGTTATCGGTCCTCAAGGCTTACTCGCAACCAAAGCGCGAGTCTTGCCACTAAACAGCATCTCGTACCTCAAGTATTTCGATCAACTTGTTTCCCTGCGCCGCGGTATTATCTTGGACAGTGGCTCGTACGATGAGTTGATGTACGAATCCGGATAGTGTAAGGGTGCGCTAGATTGTGTGGTATATTTTCAATCATGATGTCGATGCAATCTAATTGAGATTATGACAGTCACGGTCATGCTAACGGAGCGGTTCCAACTCTGGAACGACCAACACCTGACGGTCCAGCGGCATGTCCACATTCCACTACAAGCGAGGGGGACATGCAAGCCACCCTTGTTGGAGAACTTGAATCTGTATCAGAGAAGGTATCGCGTAGAGAAAGTTTCACAAAAGCTGTCCTCGCTATGCCGCCCAAGCTGCGCGACGCGTCCTTCCGATGGCATCACGAAAGAGCACAGTGATGCAGGGCCGCGTCAAGATGGAAGTGTACTCGCAGTACCTCCAAGCAGCGTCGAAAAAAGGGTTCCTGATCTTTGTACTCGCTACGGTTCTGCAGCAGATGGTATCTGTCATGTCACCGTAATGCTCAGGCTTTGGGGCGAGCATAACCGCGAGATGGGTGCCAACGCGGGATTGACCGACAAGTATTTCCTGGGATATGGTCTGTCCAATTTGATGGCCATTTGCTTAGGCGCATGTGCTGCGCTTCTGATTTGGGTTTTCTGCTCGCTTCGGAGCTCAAGCACCTTCATGATTCGGTTAGTGCTGCGTTCCAAGTATGGATGAATTTTTCATCTATTTTTCAGATGCTGCATTCGGTCATGCGTGCGCCCCTCAGCTTTTTTGAGACAACGCCAACGGGACGGTGCGTCCAGATCAGTAAACTGTGGAAGGCTTTCTGAGTTCTAACAATTTCTTGTTGCAGTATCTTGAACTTGTTTTCTCGTGATACATATGTTGTCGATCAAATCCTGGCGCGAGTGATCCAAAATCTGATACGCACAAGCGCGGTTTGCGCTTCTATTTTATTGGTCATCGGGTTCAGCTTCCCGCCCTTCTTGATCGCCGTCGTTCCTCTGGCATGGTTCTACTACAAGATCACCGTGTATGAATGGCTTTGTTCTTCTTCCAGAATCATCCTGATATTATCAATAGGTACTATCTCGCGACGTCACGGGAACTCAAGCGTCTGGATGCGGTGTCCCGCTCACCCATCTTTGCGTGGTTCTCGGAATCCCTGGCTGGAATTTCGACTATCCGGCGTACGAACAACAAGCCGTTTTCATTGCGAACAATGCTCGTCGTATTGATCGCAACCAGTTGTGCTACCTTCCTAGTACTGCCGTCAATCCGATGGCTTGCAGTAAGATTGGAGTTCGTTGGAGCAGTGATCATCTTCGTCACTGCTGTTTTGGCTGTCTCTGCCGTCATGACCAGCAACGTTGATGCAGGATTGGTCGGTCTAGTTCTGTCATATGCTTTGAACACAACAGGTTCACTGGTGAGTGGCTTTTTCTCTGTTCTGAGGCGTTGGTAACTAAACGGTCGCAGAACTGGTTCGTCCGCTCCGCAAGTGAAGTAGAACAGAATGTGGTTAGCGTCGAGCGTATTGTCCACTACGCCAAAGACCTTGAGCCAGAAGCTCCTTACGAGATCCCTGAGAATAAGCCCACCTCTGAGTGGCCCACAGCTGGGGAAGTTGAATTCCGGTGAGTCTGTCGCTGTATGCACGAAATTGTATTGAACTTGTTTGATTTAGGGACTACTCAGCACGGTATCGGCCCGGGCTTGATCTAGTCCTCAAGGATATTTCCATGACCATAGTCAGTCATTCCGCCAGGTTTCTCCTACATGTACGCTGACTCGAGATGTTCTAGAAACCGAAAGAGAACATCGGAATATGTGGCCGGACTGGGGCAGGGAAATCATCGGTAAGATATTTCCTTTCTTTTGTTGGACTGTGACGATACTTTTGCAGCTTCTTCTTGCCCTCTTCCGGATCATCGAGCCTGCATCCGGAGCTATCTTCATTGACAAAGTAGACATTACCAAACTTGGCTTGCATGACTGTGCGTCTTCTTTGAGCTGTCCGTTTGGATACTTGGACACCCATTGATCAAACCAACAATAGTGCGGTCCGCGATATCCATTGTTCCTCAAAACCCAGATTTGTTTGAGGGGACATTGCGAGAGAACATTGACCCTGTTGGCGAGCATCAGGATGTTGATATATGGACTGCTCTGGAACATGTCCGTCTTTGAAGTATGTCTGTACTTCTGATGCTTACGAACGACGCTTCTATAGGCCCATCTGAAGGCATATGTCGATTCACTCCCTGGGGGACTAGATGCTCCGGTTCAGGAGGCCGGATCATCACTTTCAGCAGGTCAGAGACAGCTCTTGTGTTTCGCGAGGGCGCTCTTGCGCAAGGTACGAGCGTCTCTTTTGGCTGGTTGTGAGTTTTCATCGCCGACACTCCCTAGACTAAAGTGCTCGTCCTCGACGAAGGTCCGTACGAGCGGCATCTTGTTATTCTGCAAGACTAATATGCATGATTCTAGCAACATCTGCAGTTGACCTAGATACCGACCGAGCGATTCAAGAAATTATCCGGGGTCCAATCTTCCGCGATGTGACCATTCTAACTATTGCGTATGTCACATGTCCAACATCGTTGATGATCAGTGCCAATCATGATTCTATAGGCACCGCTTGAATACGATCATGGAGTCTGATAGGATTCTTGTTCTAGATGCTGGGAGGGTAAGCATACTCCAAGGATATTCATCCTTAATTTGTTGTTGATTGGCCAATTTAGATTGCAGAATTTGATACTCCAAAGAAGCTGCTGGAGAACAAGAGTTCTATCTTCCGTTCTATGGCGATGGAGGCTGGTCTAGTTCAGGTCCACCTTGATGATGCAGAAGTGAACGCACAGGAGTAAATATACCTAATCATGCACAATATTTCTTCAAGGGTCTTGTTCAGAAATATGACGTCATAACTATGTAGATATTGCCATGTTCTTGCTCTGAATCTTATGTTTCGCTATCAGCTATTCAATATTCAATTGTGAGACTCGATAATGCAATTGGGATGCCCCGATACTCGCCTTGCGATGTACCGCAGAAGCATCAGATGAAACCAGGGCGTCTTTGCTACTACCCAATGCCTCGGAAGAGGTTGAAAGTTATTTCAAACGTTCTCAATTGAACTTACTACCAGTAGTAGGATTCCTACCAAAGATATTAGGCTTGACCTGGTACCTGTGACGATCTACCGAGCGTTGATCTGTTTGCGGCGTGCGCCGCTGCCAATAGTGGAATCGACATGCGCTGTTTGTTAGTCTATTATGTAACGAGGCACGAGCGGAGGAATAGAGCTGTGTCTTCGAGCGAACGGCTAACGTGGCACGGCGCCTCTTGTCTCCGTGCTACAACGACCGTTAGTACTCAGAACTTTTCTCGTCGTTCTCGTTTTATTTCCCCTCCCTCCTCTTCCTTTTCTTTCATCGTTCACGATTCGAGATCCTCGCTCTCCTCAAAAGTCCACAGCAGGACCCGGAGGACACCTGAAACATCAATCGCAGCGAGGAATCCCACCCTCCCTCGCAGCTCACCTCTCTCTTTCAGGTTAGTCCCTCGGGGCCGGAAGACGCTGCGCGTCCTCGCCCGGAAACTCTCGTTGATCGTCTCAGAAAGTAATTCATTTAGAATTCATTTATTGCCCTGTCCCTCGTTAGATTACCATATAACAAACCATCCTTTCCTTCAGAACACGTTTGAGTGACCTCAAAAGAGAGGGAGACTAGACGTTCGAGGCACATAGTAAAGTCACAATCTTTAATTAGTAATTTCCTTCAATGATAGTGCAGCGCATGCATGCATGCATACGTACTGCAGAACCAACAACATCTTCCGAAACGGGAGTGCAGATCTTCACCATCATCGCTTCACCTCGTACTTTTCCCAGCCAACTTCTTTCAGCTTCTCAACCTTTGCGACAACCTCGCTCTCTAATCCTCTTAGATACACATCAATGTCTGCAAACAGATAAGGTATACCAGCCCCGAGAATCCGCACAGCTAGCAATCCAGCATTCATACCGCCGTTAATTGCAACCGTCGCTACAGGTATACCTCGCTGTGGTGACACTCAGACGTCAACGAATCACATAAAGACTCAAAGACCCTTACTGGCATTTGCACGATACTATGCAACGAATCAACACCATCAAGAGAGCTTCCTTTCACAGGAACTCCAATGACAGGAAGCGCGGTCATGGCAGCAACCATGCCAGGAAGATGTGCTGCACCACCTGCTCCAGCAATGATCGTCCTCAAACCCCTTGAGCTCGCTGACCTTGCGTATTCGACGAGGCGATCTGGTGTGCGATGTGCAGAGACGATGGTGAGTTCATAGGGAATCTTGAACCGATCCAGGATACGAGCAGCCGGCAACATTACAGGAAGGTCGGAATCGGAGCCCATGATCACACCAACGAGCGGGTATTTGTGGGAAAAGCCGCTGCCTTGTGCGGGGGTCTCTGGGACGTATAGAGCAAGTTCTTCTTCAGTACTCCCTGACGGTAATGCCTTTAACAGTGGTCGCAGGCGAGAGCGGACCTCTGAATCTGAGTTGCCCACGACGGTGACGTGTCCCATTTTACGTCCTTTGCGACACTCCGATTTGCCGTACAGATGGACCGCACAACCATCTGTCTTGATACACTCAGATGCGAAATTCGTGACTTCTGCCATGTTGGATGAAGCGCCAATGATATTCAGCATTGCAGCTGAAGACACTTTTAGTGACGTGGAACCAAGCGGGAGTGACAGTATGGCGCGCAGATGATTTTCGTACTGGGAGGTTTCGCAAGCCTCTATGGTATAATGTCCAGAATTATGTGGCCGAGGGGCAATTTCGTTGATATAGATAGAGCCTGACAGAATCGGTAGGTTAGACTGGTTCGCACAATCCAGAGAAACTATCTTCTACCGTCTTCCATGAGAAACATTTCGACTCCAAAAACACCAGCGCCCTGGAAGGTCTTGACTGCGGCTTCGGCTACGCTCTGTGCGCGAATAGCAATATGTGGATCGCGACTCCGCAAGGGGGCAAACACCAAATGACAAATGTTGTCTTTGTGAACGGTCTCCACAGCGGGATATGAGCGAACCTCCCCTGTCGTGGAGCGCACTACCATGACAGCGATCTCCTTCACGAATGGCACCCACTTCTCGGCATACAAGGGACGATTCCCGAGGGCAGAGATAGCTTCTTCCGCTTGAGCAATATTCCGAACAACAAAATTTCCCCGCCCATCATACGCCAACGTGCGACTTTTGAGCATGAATGGCAAGCCAATTTTTTCCGCAGTTTCATGTATTGATGTGACATTGGACTCGACACAGAGAAACTCTGACACGGGACATTGGTGACTCTGGAGGTGCTGTTTCTGTATCAATTTGTCTTGGATAATCTTCACCGTAGACGGACTGGGATGAATGACAGCTCCGGGCACTGACTGAATCTCTTCAAGTATGTTCGTATCGACGTGCTCAATCTCAACAGTTAGGATGTCGACCTTGCTGGCCAGTGCCTTGATTTTTTCTGGGTCTACGAAAGATCCATCGATGTGAGCAAGAAGGGGAGATCGCGGGGACACAATCTGCTTTGCTGGACTATTCTCTCCAACGTCAAGGAATACTATATCGACGTTGAGCAGGGCCGCCGAAGCGGCTAACATTCGCCCGAGCTGACCTCCGCCTAGAACAAGCAAGTCAGAGGAGACGATAAAAAACTAGAGACATAGCCTGGTAGATATCATGAGCGCTTAAATCGAGAGAATTCAACGCTGTGAGCTCACGCGCACCAAGAACCCCGACAACCTTGCCACTCATCGTGTTTAAAGTCGATTTCGCGTAGATCGTGCGCGTGAAGAAGTGAAAGATCTGCAAAGATATGATCAGTATTATGTAATCACAACTTTGTAAGTAGTACGCTGAAATTTATTGATCCTTCTCAAGTTCGACAGATGGGCCCGCCAGCACCAAAGCCTGCTGCTCGCAGGAGGAACAGGAAACGTAAAAGACGCGCCGTATCTTCCGGTTCTTCCTCTTCGTCTGATGATTCATCTTCGGATGAATCCACGCAATCTATACCGCAAAAGCCGGCACCTCTCCCAACCAAACAACCTGAATCCGACACGAGTTCGTCGTCTGAATCTACATCCTCAGATAGCGACTCCGAATCAGATGATGATGACGCTCGTACATCCATGATAAAAGAACAAATGCAGACCGACGGTCTGAAAGTTCCTAAACAAAAAGACATCCCTCGACAAAGGTCACCTTCACCCTCCCTGCCCAGTGCTGAAATACCACCTTTTCTACCGCCAAATCCGTCTGCGGATTACGAGGCGCGTGAGAAAGCCATGAAAGATAAATTCAGGAAGTTCTGGATGTCATCCCTTGCAGAAGGATTCAAGGAAGACCTTGAGGAAATACGGAAGGTTAGCAGATGATTATTCCAGACATGAGTCGATCCTCATGACTTTTGCAGGAGCCAACTTTGGGACCCTCCAAGCTAGCACTGCTTATTGATTCGCTCGCAGCTGGGGCAGATATTTTTACGTCATCTGCATCCGCCAGCGGGATAGACATGAATGAAGTAGATGTCGTCATGGGTGAATGATACAGAGTTCGTGGTCATCTATATAATCCTCTTTTCTGCATGTAACCATGAACTGCAGAGTCTCTTAGTGGTGTAAGACCACTGACGCGTGCTTGGATCATTCGGGGCTCTATCGCGGGCAAACATATTGAATGATCTTGACACGTTCCGCATGTTTGAGCCTCCCAGTAAATTTGGGAGTCCGGAACACCGTCAATATTGCAAGGATCCCGTCTGCATCTCGAACAGAGACATCAAATGCAGTCCGTTATACATAGACGACGAAGAGCTTTTGCAGTTAGTAATATCTTAGGGAGGCACCCGGACTTTGTTACGATCTATAGGTTGATGCACGTACGATGTGCGGTATTCACTGATAAAGACGAGCCCCGAAATATCAGTCTACAAGTTTTTTTTGGTTGCTATTCCGCTCATGTTCCCGTCATTCGACCTGCTAGAAGACTAAGTTAATACATGCAGCTGCAATGAAATCATAAATATTAAATCGCAAATATATACACCAAAAGCTAACAAATTGCATCAATAATTAACGAGCGCTAATGACGTATTGAAGGTATTCATCTAATGTCTATCCAAGTGTATCAGCACGAAACATTTTGTTCGATCAGCAACACATCTCTTACCTTATCCATCTCATCAAGTTGTTGGAAAGCACCCGCGTATATCTCTTGAATATCTGGGTGTAGAGTCGTCATATCTATTGGTTTTCCAAACAGTGACTCGTCCACTGGGTGTACAGAGGTTTGAGGCACCCTGGGTGCTGCACTAGCAATTTCAATGATCGCCATCATATGCGAGAGACCGAAGTCATCTTTGGGAATGTACGGTCGCTTGGGAATTTGCGGTTTGGGGGTGGTGTTGATACGCGGCGTTTCAGGGGGGCTGATGAGCTGTCCAGTGGGGGTAGCATACGTCGATACTTCTGACATGACAGAAGCGATCGACGATTGACGAATAGGGCGAGGAGCATTTGTTCCTTGCTTTGATGACGGGGTAGTAGATCGGGTGCGGCTGTGTCGGCCATCTGCTGCAGTAGGTGTCGGTGTCCGAGATATGTCAGACACTGGTGATGCAACGCGTCGAGCCCCAGTGACACTACTCGCAAGCGGTGTGGGAGTCCTGCCGTCAGAACCAGAAGGGGGAGTCACGGCATCATCGACGGAATATTCTGAGGGTGCAGAGCCAGAGCCACCAGAGGGAAGACCGTCAGACTGACTCGAGGCCGCAACGACATATTGAGCGTGAAGTCGACCATCTTTGATTTTGTTCAGTACGCGATCAATCTTCTCGTTCATGCCTTCTTTATTGCGCCCGAGGACGCCTTCTAGCAAGTCGTTCTTTTGTGCCGAGTTGCCTTCGCAAAACTCT